ATATACATATACATATATATATATATATATATATATATATAACTACTTCAACTACTTCATTTGGTAGTTATAAATAGCACACACACGACTTCTGACCTGCTTTGAATGTAAAAGTCCAAAAAGTCCCAAAGCAAACAGAGACGCCTCCCAAAAACTGCATCTGTTTCCAGACATCCCTTTACAAACGCAAACCCTGCTTTAAGTTAAAGTGTTGAGCGGTTTCTAGCAGCTGTCATCCCTGATGCAGGACTGGATCGGAGAGTTAAAGCTCCTCTGGGATCACAACCCGCTTGAGATGAGCTGTCAAAACTTTACCAACTACCGCGTGGAAATACAGCCGCGTCGCTCCGCCTCCAAACAAAGATACGTCACACGCGACGCGCTGTAGTTCTTCACTGGCGCGCATAGCGCTGTAGCCAACGGCGGAGGGAAAGATTCAAGACTACAAAACCCATAATCCCGCTGACGTCAGCGCATCAAGCGGACCAATGGGACAACAACACGCTGAATAACAGACGGTTTTCTTTCCTGCGTATTTTAAATTTCTGTCCATTTATACCGTATACTTTCTTTCCTTTATTATTCGTTTAAATTAAGTAAACTGAACCTTTTTAATTATATGTTCTATATTAATATGTGCTTCATGGTGTCAAATTATTTTAAACTTGAATATAACGCTTATAATAAAAACAAATGCATAAAATGTGAAGAAAAAAACCCAAATACGAATAAGTACAAATTAGTAATTAAATAAGTGCAAATAAGTAATTAAATAAACGTGAAACATGTGAAGAAAACAAATATCCGAGCCTAAAATGTTTCGGATACATATCAAAATATTTTTTTCTCTACATATTAACTGGCCAGGATCACTGACAGCCACACAGACAGTGCAAAATAAATGCTTTAAAACAAAATACGGACAAGAACACGCGATATTTAGCAACGTAAACATGTAGAGTTTCAACAGAAAAACACTAAACGGCGCGGAAAACCGCAACGGACTGCGGACGTGCTGACGTCACATTCGCGCGACAGTAGAACATGCCAGAAATACTATGGCAACTGTGTCAAAAGCAGAAATATTAACACAACATAATGTGTTTTTAGCCATAGCATCAAATAAACTTACATGACACAAGCAGCTTTGGTCCTGGCTGTCCGGAGTATCTCCGTAAACAGGCTCCTTCTGTGGGCTTTTGCTCTTGGCGTTGTTTTGAAACCATCCCCAGCCGAAATGACCGCAGAATAAACTCAGGAGTAAAACCAGCAGTCCGCGGGTTTGTGTTGCGTTTAACATGGCTCACGCAAAACCCGTTTCCAAAAGCCCAAAACATACACAGACGACGAAACCACTCAAACTGCCCGTTTAGAGGAAACGGCAGAACTCCCTCATGAATATTTTGAATGATAATTACACGCTACACATCAATTATAAAGATGAGCGACGTCGCGTTTGCTGTCGGGAAACAAAAACGCTAGAAATGCTCAAAATTGTGGCCAAACATCGACACCGGAAAACGCTACAGAGTGGGGGCGTGGCTAAGCGCGCGGGGTGTTGAAGTGGGCGGTGCTTATACGAAGGCGTCAGATGATAGACAGTTGTTTGCTCCTCCCCCGTCTTTCACTTTTTGATTTTTTAAGGGCACACTTTTACTCAGTGTAGCTTGAGAATTGCACTCAGTGTAGATTATGATTAAAACACTAAATAAATAACATCAGTGGAAATGAATGCATCGTTGCAGCGTCAGCAACTGAATGAGCATACACAAAAAAGGTCACAAATTATAAATTGAACCATAAAAAATGACCATTAACTTGGAAATAGCTGACTATAGTTCGCTAAAAAAAAGTTCGCTTTTTTATTTTTAATGTGACCAACCTTCACTCCTAGAAACCTTGTCATGGTTTTAAAATATGGATTTAAAATAAGATATTTAACTTCCAGAACCGGAAGTGAGGGGCGGAGTTATTGACAACGAGAGAGCACGGTGAGTAGTCTGTAATGTTTTTGTTATCATATGTTTAATAATTATCGTATATATTACGTTAAGCATTTATCTGCTAAGTACTTAATGTGTGCTTGGCTTTATTATCTTATATTGAAACTTGAATTTGTTGTCATACTTTATAGTATATAACTTTTTTCTGTGGATGTTTCGATTAATTTTCGGATGCATGCTGTAAATGGGCCTTGTGGTGAAGTTTTGAAGACGTTTATTATTCATAAGAATAAATAGTTTGCTTTAATTCCCTCTGTTATATGCATTGTTTGTGTGTTAATATTACCTTGTAGTTGAGTTATTTTAATCCCATTTGTCATCACTAAGATAATTGTGTGTGTCTTCATCTCTTGTAGAGACATATAAGGATTCAGAGGTGACACATTACCTAACATTAAGTGTTACAGCAATCACCAGCAGTTTTCTGCTTGACCAGCATGTTTAAGCCAGCCAAACTGGTCAAATTAATAAGTCATCTTCAAATCCACTTCAACATGCAGTTGTCTGTGGAGGTATGAATATCTTGAGTTGTTTGTTTAATGTACTCACAATTTATTATTGCATAATAGTTTACCTGTGTACTTATTTATTTATTTTAGGCTATACTATACATCTTTGCAACCAGTTATTGGTGTGATTATTTAGTTGTTAAATTAGGAACAAGGAATGTTTTTTTTGTGCTATTTACAGGGAGAATATTCTTATTTGTTGTTGTTTTCCAGTACATCTTGTCTTGGGAGCACCCTTTGATTTTACATCTGTAAGTAGTTATCAGTTAAAGTAATTGACCTTTATGATGTTGCAGCAGTTGATATTTTAAAGATTTCTCTATGTGTGTGTCCTCCAGTGTGACATTCCCATCATACGGAGATGGTGGACTCCAGATGGTTTTCTCTGAAAGGTACTGGACATTTCCTCCAGCACAGCATTACATTAGCACCCCCTTCTGACCAATTTGAAATTAACCAAGATACGTGTCTATTACAGTGCTGACACCCTACAAGAGGCCCTTCCAATTGGATAACAGGCTACGCTTGTGAGGTATGTCTAAAATCTATCTATCTATCTATCTATCTATCTATCCATCTATCCATCCATCTATCCATCCATCCATCTATTCATTCATCCATCCATCTGTCATATAAATGTTATACCTTTCTATTTGTTTCAGTGAGAAAAGTTGACTCTTTCATTGACTTATTAAGAGTCAGACCTGTTTAGAGCGAAGCTTCTGCATCTGTATAATTACACAAATAACTGTATAGGTCTACAACTAAATTACACAAGATGTATATAATGTTTATAAAATGCTTAATATGTCATTATAAAATGCATACATACATAAAGTATGACGTATCGTGTAATAAAAGCAAATTACCCCTTAAAAACCGTAAGGTGGCGCTACTCTATTAAAAAATGTAAGCTCCGCCCCTCACTTCCGGTTCTGTGGCTGCGGGTCTGCAGCTGGATACTATTGTCTCTGAGAGATTCTGCAGTCTGAGGGGTTTTAAAGGCTTTAGCCTGAATCACCTGAAGAGGGCGAGAAAGATTGAGAGAGAGAGAGAGATTTAATTTTGAAAAAAAAAAAATTTAATCTGCACACCAAACAGTACTTTTTTATTCATAATGTCTTAAATTTTATATTGTATATTGTTTTTATTTTTTATTTAATATTATTTAATTAATTTAATTAATAATATTTATATTAATTAATTATTAATATTAATTAATAATAATATTAATATTATTTAATTTATTATTAAATTATATTTCATTGTTATTTGCTATACCGTATCACTATTATTACTGTTTTTTAAATACTGTATCTAAACACAAGCATGCGAATGATGTACTTTAAACTCAACTGAACTGAAATTGAGACAGAGAGCGCACAACAATAAAACAAAACAAAACATTGTTATCAAATGAGAAAGGCGTGTTAGAACTTTAAAGTAAGTTTTCACGTACATTGTGTCGTAATGTGGTTTGGCAGCATTCACAACCTTGAGAGAGTCGAGCTGGAATGTGATTCTGTGTTATGATAAACGTAGTACAGTATATGATATGAACATGTAGTCTCATGTTAGTAAGTATAAAATCCAAAAAGGATATTTAAACTCACGCTAATTTTAAGAAGGATATAAAAGGAAAGCTTTAGTTCCTGGTTAACTAAAAATGATTTAGCTGTATTTAAATCAAAAGTTGACTTTGAGTTGAAATAAGGCCTTTAACTGGACTATACCATACATTTTCTGGAACCCTTGACTATTGATAATGGATAGATAATGATCACACCATTTATCCTCACTAACCGTAATAATTAACATTTAACCGCACAGTCAGAATCACAGCTCACTGATTCAAAGAGTAAACAAATGATTGTCATACTGTATATCCATACTGTAGCTTTAAGGTCAAATTGATGAGGTTAAGTTCTATTAAGCTATGACTATAATAAAAAAACATCACCCATTCAACAGCTACTTGTTTTATTTTATTCCAGTCATATGCATTTTATGAAACACTGAAAAATATAAGTGACCTTTACACAACATTATCAGCCATGAGACTAGACAAACCTGATATTTAGGTTATAGATGTGAGTTTAAAGATTCAGTCTCGTTTCTGAGCGCAATAATGCCAAGCTGAAGGGAACTTGTGTTCATCCTGGGTGTCGGTCTGGCAGATTTGTACTATTTGTATACGATTTTATGTGATTTTATTTTATTTTTCTAGTTTGTACTGTACTGTACTTGTTGTTTTGGATAACAAAACAGGAACACATGCAAGAGCGATGAAACAAGGTAAAGTTTACAGACATCGTTTTTTTAAGACATCAAATTAACATTTGCTTTGAGTTGATACTAAATGCATTCTTTACTGTAAACAAAACAGTTTAGTCCTTTATTGTGTTGTGCTCTATATCTGCAGTTATACCATACATGTAAATGTATAGCCTACTGTAAAAAAGGTTTTTCCTTTGCGTTTTTTAAAAGTTTCACATATAGACGACAACGTTGTCAAACAATCCCCATTAACACAGAAAAAAGGTAAAATTATCGAAAATCATATATATAATGTATTTGCTACCGTATTTTTTACGGTAAAATTCCGGCAACCACAGCTGCCGTTTTTTCTACCGTAAATTTTACAGATTTTTTTTTACAGTGTATGCTTTAGTAAAATAATCACACGATCAACATTTTAAATGAAATTTGCAGTTTGACTTTTCAGTGTCCTTGTGTTGAGCTGCTGTTCTGGGATGGCAGAAATCTGACAAAGCCTCAGTGATAAACACAATATTAGATTATCACAATATAAAGTTGCATGTTCTTCTCGTTTTGTCACAGAGTTGAGAGCAGTTCTTATTGGAAGGCAACACTGTGGGAAAACATCGGTGATCAACACTATATTGGAAACCAGAACAGAAGCTGAAGGAGATGAGAATGTGAAGAGAGAGGGATTTATTGATGGCAGAAGAGTCAGTCTGGTTGAAACTCCTGGCTGGTGGAAAACCTTCAATCCAATAGATTTTTCCAACATCTCCAAACTGCAGCTGGTTCGCAGGATTTCTCTGGTTTCACCCGGACCTCATGCGGTTCTGATCGTGATTCGGGCCGATTCTGCATTTACTGACCCCGATGGGAGGTTTCTGGAGGAGCATTTGGAGCTGCTGGGTCCCAATGTCTGGACTCACACCCTCGTTATCTTCACAAGAGGAGATTTAATTCAACGAGAAGACATAGAGCAGCGTATTCAGGAGGAGGGGTCGGCGCTCAAGCGGCTTATTGAAAAATGTGAAAATAAATATCAAGTTTTTAATAATTCAAACCATCACGGCCGAACCCAAGTCGAAGAGCTGCTCAATAAAATCGAAGGAATTGTGAAGACGAGTAAAGGCATGCACTTTAACATTGACTTGGAAAAAGTAAAAGAAGTCAATGAGCAGTGGGAGGAAATTCAGACCAGAGCAAATTCTAGAAAATCCAGAGTACAGAAGGAACGGTCAATATTTAAAGAAAAAGGTAAGATAAAGGTACAGTTAAATTTGTGGTTGTTCGGTGAATTTTGGCAGGCGATATTCATTTATTTTTCTGTTTGTTGTTTGGATGAAAAAAAAAACATTTTAATATTTAAACTTTAATCTGGTCTGCCTCAACTGTCTAACAGAGCTAGTCAATGTCAAAATGTCCGAGATTGAAGAGGGCGGGGCTTTATTGTTCTTTTTACTGTGCTTTTCTTTTTCTGAATTCCAATGCAACGCTTCAGTTGTTAACATGGAAAGAGTGTGAGAAAATATTTAAGTGGACCAACTGAACATTTAATATTTGACAACGGTTTTACGATAGAAATGTTTAACGATCGAAATACACAAAATAATGATCTTTAAAATAGCATCATATGACCCCTTTAATATCCAATGAAGCAAACTACTTGACGGTTTTTCAAATTTTGCAGATTTGAATTAAAAAATATGAGATGAATCATTTGCGGGATTCATATAATTCAAATGTAATTTTAAATTTGCCATTTGTAGTTTTGGGTTTTCGACATGTTAATGGACAATTTTCCATGGTCTGTCTCTGTTATCTCTGGGAAACGAGGTTACGTTAGTAACCAGACTGTTCACTTTCAAAACGGTCTCTCAAATTACACTTACCACACTAGGTGAACAATTTATCCAGTAGCGCTGTGCTATAAGTGCAGAAGGAAAAGCTGTCCTGCGAGCACAGCCCTAGGGTGCCAGGGGTGAGGGTCCTAAGGGAACATGGGCAAGTAAGGGTATAAGTAACCAGGAACTGATGGGGCCCATGCCCTAAGGCCGGGGTCCCCAGAGAAATAGCCCTGATCACCAGCAGGGCTACAAGATGGCAAGGCAGACCAAATCCATGCCTAAAATGTCCAGGTTACGCATCAAAAATAGTGGAGTGTTCCTTTAAGACTGGTTTTGTGGTCCAGAGTCACATATGGATAAATGTGAATGGATGCATAAGCTATTTTAAAATAAAAATATTATTTGCAAGTAGATTACTTCTTGCAATCTTACTGTTCTTTTTTTTAATTCTCTTAAATACATTAAAGTCCTTTGATTTTTTAAATTCTTTTAAATAAAAAGACCATTACCAGTATATATCAGGTGTAAACAGGCTCATCTGCAGATCCTTTACATATCTCAACTGTCCTTTTATTTCAGCATATGTGCGTCGTCTTGAGGAGATCAGAGTTGTTGTGCTGGGATGGGTTCTTGGTGGAAAGAGTTCAGCTGGAAACACCATCTTGAACCGAGATGAATTTGCCATCGGAGGAAAAACCAGAGAATGTACGAGGAGGTTTGGAGATGTAGACGGAAGGAAAATGACTGTTTTGGACACTCCAGGCTGGTGGAAGTACTTCGCATCTGAACTCAACCCAGATTTCATTAGATCTGCGATCTTAGGAAGCGTTTCAGAGTGTAAGAAGTTCCCTCACGCCATGCTGCTCGTGATCCCAGCAGACACGTCATTTCAGGAAGAACAAAAGAGAATCACTGAGCAAAATATGTCTATCCTGGGAGACGACGTCTGGAGACACACAATAGTTCTGTTCACGTGGGGCGACAAGTTTAAAAACATCTCAATCGAGCAGCACATTGAGAGTGAAGGTGAAGCTCTTCAGTGGCTGATTGAGAAATGCAGGAGCAGATACCACGTCTTTGACAACACAGACAAGAACAATCGAGATCAAGTCTCAGAGCTGCTGCAGAAGATTGATGAGATGGCGGCAGAAAACAGTCTGTTTTGTCTCAAAACACGGAAAAACTGTGATGAGAAAAGCTGTCAGAAAACTGACAAACAGGAGGCTCTGAATATGGAGATCAGACTGAAGGACATCTGCCACTTTCTGGACGAGGGGTTTAAGAGAAAAGCTGAAGAGATAAGAAGGAAGATCGAAAAGTTATGCATGGATATCTTGGAAGTACATCTAAACCTTCAGGACTCTTGGAGTATGGATGATCCTATTGACTGTATGTTTTCACTCACTATTGTGTTGTCAGGTATAATTTGTAAATATATTTCTATGATTAACATTTTCATAATGATGTTTCAGTAGATCAAGATAAACCCCACAGACCATTAAAAGCGATCAGTGCACCTCAACAGGACAACAGTAAGTGGGATTTATTTATATATTTGTATCAGAACTGGATGCAAGCATATATATTTAAGTTGGCATATGCATAAAGGATCAGCAGTTGTATGAGGTGTCATGAATTAATCTGAGTGGGTTCAGACTCAAGGGTGGGGGGGGGTATTTTGCAAATGTCTGTTTTATGAGCATTAATATTATGACTTAATTTCTTTCAGTCCCTGAGCCGATTAAAACACTTCTGGTGAGAGAGTTCAGCAGATGGGAAAGTATCATCATAGATGGTGTTCAGGAAAGTTTCCAGGACATTAAATCATCATTTGGTAAGTCCTTCAACAAAGAGTTTGTGTTCCAAAGAGAAAAAGCACATTGAAGCGTATTTGTAAAACTAACATATATAAGACACATCTAAATATGCATTTGTAAATGTAATAAAAAAAATTAATAAATAATTTTTTTAATGATAAATGTAATTTGTTCTGTTCTCACATTTACATGGTCATTTTCAGAGCTCTCTCAGGCTGAGAAGAGGCAAAAGTCAGTGGATGCTGTTGAGAGATGGCTACAGAACTGCTACCATTATGTTCAACATACTATTGATAAAATACAAGCTCCAGAATCAGGGATCAGTACAAAGAGACTGAAGATACAATGATTACTTGATGATTTACAGTTTGTGTGTACATATATATATAAAATGCATGAACATAATTTAATTAGGATTTTAAATGCAATTTTATTATATTCGTTTTTTTTTTCAACTGCTTACACACATTTTCAAAATTTTGCCTCTTTTTTTTTTTTTCAAAACTTTACACACAAATCCAAAAACTGCACACACACAAAATGCAAAATGCCTCGCATCTCTTGCAAAATGAAGCACTGCATTCAAAATATCACAAACACATCTCAAAAGCAAACATTTGCAAACACCTTTGCCATAATATTAATTCCTGTTAGATTTTTGTGTGTTGCATAGAGAATTGTGTTGTGTTTTGCCAAAAGTGTTAAAAGTAAAGATTTAGTGTGTAAGCAGTTGAAAAAAACTTCACTTCACATGCATTATTACAAGTTGCAGCTGTATTTTAAATCTGAAATGTAAATCTATATGCAAATGGGAACAGTCCTTCTGGTGAGATTCAGTGATTTGCTTAAGAACAAATCTAGAGTTTACACTCATATTCTTTCTGCTGGTTTCTGAACATTGAGTCCACAAGCGAAGGCCAGTGTTTATAAATGGACCATGAAAAATAACCAAGTCTTTTAAAGTACAAGAAGGAAAGTCAAAATGAAGCAATAGCAGGCTGATCAAAGGTAGAGGAAACTCAATCAGTATGTTTCTTAAAAGAGAAACAGACATATAAGGATGTGATTAAATCAGTCCAATAAAGATGATTTTCTCAATATTTAGATTTGTTTGCACCCTCAGATTCCAGATTTTCAAATATTGTTCTATCCTAACAAACCATACATCAATGGAGAGCTTATTTATTCATCTTTCAGATGATGCATAAATCTCAATTTTGAAAAATTGACACTTAAGACTGTTTTTATGCTCCAGGGTCACAAATAGCCTCGATTATTTCATCTGAAATTCAAATTCGAATTTAAACCTGGAAATAAACTGAAGTTGGATGAAACAAAATGCTGTTGTTTAAAATGAGTAAGAAAAGCCATTAAAACATCTGCTTTGATATTACAGTAGATTTCTGTTTCTCTTAGGTCTATAGACATTTAAACACTAGCACATACATTTTCTAATGCTGCTTTAAAATTGAGGGTATTGTGAAAAATGTTAACATAATAGTGTAGATTTATACAGTTTTTAAAAATTCAATATCGTAAACAAAGATTATTATAGTGTGTTTTTCAAAAAAAGCTATTTATCATCACATTTGTATTGTGTTACTTGCCATTTCTTTGTAATTAATGGTGAAAATTGTCCAGTGTATGGACACCTCATTTACTGTACAGATGAACTAATACAACTAAATAAAAAGCACATCTATATTTTCACTGTCTCTTATTTTCCTTCCTATTTCTAGTCTGTACTCTTTTAGACAACATCTGGAACTTTGTATTTTTAGGACTTCTCCTCTGGAGTAACACATCTGCTAAATGAGTACGTTTGAACGTAATATTAAAGTTAGTTTGTCTATATATTTGATTGTATTGAGTGTATTGAATGATTTAACAATCAGGAGTCTTCTAAATGTAGGACTCTAATGTAAAACTCATTGAGAGACTCTGCTTAAATGTCACCCACTTATTTTCTCAAAAGAAAAACAAAACCCCGAATGAACACAGAGGGTAAACATTTCTCCCTCCTTAGCTGGAATAAAAAAAAAATACTCTTTAGATTTCTTTTCATGAACCACAAACCCACAAATACATGCTCACGCAATATTTGCATTCGTTTCTTCATATTCCCTCAAACACACACACACACACACAATCCAGTTCCTCAAAGAAGAAGAAATTGTTTTTTTTTTAAAGGCTCACAATAACCTTTATCACCTGTCTTTACTACTTAGCCCAACACATGTCAATTAGTGATGCAAAGTCCGATTCATTTCCGCGAACCGGTTCTTTTCGGACAGATCGGCT